GATTTGTTCATTGTCTTATTACATGAATTATTAAGAAATCGGAAACAATGATCATCCATTGTATATTAAGCGCAATATTCTATACAGGGAAGGTAACGAGTGGTTGGGTTTTCATTGAATAGTAATGTACTTCATGGAAAATAGATCTAACGAGAAATAAGCCAGTGTTCAAGTTTACGAATTGATAACGAAAGAAGGAAGTATGTAATACTAAACAGTGGTTATATTGATAGAGAATAAAGGTATGTTACTTAATTTATTTGATTGATATGATATTGTATAAGTGCGTCTAAACATGCACATAATTTGTGTGAATTTTGACAGTAGCTCACTTATTGTAATAGTTTATTGCATTGTTAGATACTTAGAAAGATAGTGTTTAGTACGTATACTGAAACTATAGTCGTTCAGGCGTTAATTTTATACAAAGAGGGTTACTTAGCGGAACTCAATTTCAATAGGATCATTCAGAAAACACTTAACCATCTCAATAAACCATTGTTTATATACCATGTACTCGTATAACAATCTCAATATGTCGTGTAATAATCTCAATTAACCCGTGTAATAATCTTCATAATATACTCGTAAATTAATCTCAATATGTCGTGTAATAATCTCCATAAACCCGTGCGATTTTAATCTTTATATACTCGTAGTGTAATTATCTCAATAAACCCGTGTAATAATCTTTATTTATTATATACTAACAAATGAAATATTGAGAAATATTGATGAAATAAAATGTGTATTTTCATTTTCCGTATTTTCACTGTAAAAATTTATTTTTCACTGCAGTGAAACATATTTTCCGTATTTTCACTGGTGTCTTGCCGGACTACTTTCTTTTAAATTCTGCCTGTACACAAAATTTAAGGCAAAGTCTTTCAAATTTTAATGTCAAAAAAGAGAAAAATGTATATAATAAACAGAAAATTCAAGTTTTTTCTATAAATACATGATTTATTTTCATCTTGTGGCATGAAAATTACCATATTTCACTCGTGGCTACCGCCACTCATGAAATATTTATTTTCATACCACTCAATGAAAATAAATCATGTATTTATAGAAAAAACTTGAATATCCTCTATATACTCCAAATAATACTCTCAGTAGACTAGTGTAATATTCTCAAAATTCCTGTATTCTCTCAATTTCAATATACTCGTATAATAATCTCACGCTTACGCTTAGGGATACTAAGGCAAATTTATGACAAAATATTTAAATGATTTTATGTAATCAAATCACGCTAAAATGACATTTTTTAAAAGTACCAGCATGAATCTCTGTATAATTCCTATATATTTTGGGTTTGAAGCGTGAATGTATCTATATATGTTGAACAAAATTTGGACGCCGACAGAATCACCGAGTGGTTTTAAAACAAGTCGTGGGTCTTTAACAAACCCTCCATGGAAGCTACAATAACATATATTGTGGATATTGTATGATTGAAACAAGTCTAAGTAATTCATTTAACATCCAGAGTTCACTGTGACAACTAAATTTGACGCTCTATAGAGGTCAAGTTTGGAAACCACTATTTTATTCTTTATAAGGACAAACTTTTTTTTTCCTGTGATAGTCTAATGTTTTAATTTTGAGGACATTTACAGAATAAAGAATGAAAAAATCAAAACTAAGAAATAAAATTTTGCCTGTGTCTCCCTTGCTGCATAATAAGTAGATGATATAGTTTGTAAATTCATAAAAGTTATTTAAAAGCTTTTAAGAAATAAATATTCCTGTTTGTTACTGATTTGTAAAAAAATCGAATATATTGAATTATCATTATCATTGTTTGATTTGAATGTACCAACTTTTTAAAATTTTTATGTTAATAACTAAATATATATTTTAAGAAATAAATATTCCTGTTTTTCCAATGTTACAGGAGATATACTTTTTTTGTATAATACATCGCCTATTTGGACTTGTGATATTGTTTTTACGTTGACCAATCTGTGTATCTCTGGTTTATAAGTAATGTAACATAATTCAATCAACAGCTTGATAAATTATGTATTTTATCATGTACGTATTATATAACATATAAGCCCTGTTGACTGGACTTGAGACGTGCGGCCATATATAAGGTTGCGTGTCTACGAGATCCGAACTTTTGGTGCCAATAACAATGCAGATGGTCCCTTATTAGATCTGAATGGATAATTAGATCTATCTATTATCTTAATTGCTTGTATAAATTTGTACTAATCTGATGATGTCATTTCATTGATAACAATCGATTAACTGTCATCTGCTAATAATCTCACTTAATAGCGATGTGTGCTCGACTTTAATTACAGCCCTGGTGATACCTGATATATCAATATTATTTACAAGCATGGTATTTTCTATATATTGAAAATCTGAAAGTATAAAATAACAAATTTTAATAACATGATACAATTATAGCATCGATCTCTGTTCTTTCTAGTCTTTTATTACCATTTTATTTAAGATATAAATGTCCCGTTCTTATTGCAGACGATAAGAATGACGTCACGATAACAAAGAACACTATTGATACTGTGATCGTTTCATTTGAAAATACTTCGTCCTATTAAGTGATTCAAATGATTACTGCATATGATTATTGAAATATTCTAATAGATGTTTACTAACACAATTTGTCAAAATACACTATTACTCTGCCAAATTTGATGACCATATAAACGTACTTTACTGTCAAAAGTTCCCGATACTTTACAATAATGGCTATATTAAGTGTTGTTATTACGCTTGTGATAACCAACATTTCAATAGCTTCGCCTCCTTTCAAACTGTAGTTTAATTGTATTGATTACGTATGAAATTTAGTGCGACGCAAATAAATTATTGCTATGCTGTCTGAAAATACTAGTAATTTATACTGATAATATTCAGAAATTTGCTTACCGAAATCGCCGAGGTCCAACATGCAAAATTGGCCGCACAAAGGTCTTATACAACAAGTGTATTTCTAAATGAAATAAGATACGTCCCCTAGTTAAAATTATTGTTTTGATTTGCACCTGTCATTAATCTACACCGAACATTCAAAAGAAAAATAAGAGAATCCTTCAAAACTCAAATCAAATCAATGAAAGAGTTATCTTCTATGTAAGACAAAAAGTAACAAAATACTACCATATATTTTGATTATATTTCTCTTATTTTTCTTTTGAGGTTAGCCATAATTTGTGGGTAATGGGATCCTCGCCAAGTAAAAATGTAAACGGAAGTGATAAAAATGATAAAGATGATACGCGTGTTCACGTAAAGACTGAAATAGAAGATCACCATGTCCTTCACTCTGCTAGTGTAACTTTAACATATTCTTTAAACAATAATGTCGACTCTAAAGATTTTAATGGTGGATCGTGGAGAAAAATAAACAGCTATCAACAAAACCAAGATAAACGGAAATTTAATAAAGAACTACGGAAGAAAGAACAAAAGAGTGAAACATTAAGAACAAGACATGTGAAGGAGAGGACCAGTTCTGCAATAGATGTAGGAGACCAAATGATGATCACTCTTCCACACCAAGCTGGTGAACCATTACATATCGATGAACGCTCCCCCAACCAGATTATAAAAGATAAACAAAGTAAAAAGAATTTAGAGTTGGAACTAAAACGAGCAAAAGAAATACAGAAAAAGAAAATATTGAGAAATATAAGAGATAAGAACAGTGTATGAAAATTTCATTGAAGGATAAGATATTCAATCTACGGGACCACTATAATGAAATTGATGTACTATTTGGATCGCTGATGATTTGCGTTCGAAAGATAAATGCATTTCTACAGACGCAAGAAAATATTGTTCCCGTAAGTTTTCATTTTTCTTTATCAACTGTATGAAGTATGATGTCGTTTAAGTTAAAGGCTAGTGATGTGATATGGTCATGTCATTATTTAGGGTAACTTATGTTAAAACATGTTTTATTACACCTTAAATCCTACAAGATATTATAATGTAACCCATCGAAATGAGCTGGTATCTGTGTTGCTTATATTGGTCACGTTTATTCTCAACTATTGTAAAGGTGTTAATTGCTATATCATATAGATTCAAGTAATGTCAAAACATTGGCTAAGCTCTTACATATATTATACTAAGGCTTTCTTATTATTACTAAGTAAAAAGCACACCTAAATAATCAATATTATCAATATTGCCATGCTTAACTATTTTTCAGGTAACGTTTGAAATAAGGAGAGATGAAAACAAATTAATACAACTCAAATATCTGAAAGAAAAGAAGATACAAATGATAAGGAGGTGAGTAGATACAGAAACTTTACATGTATGCATGTTTGATTTAGACATGTGTATTGTAGAATTATTGCAAAAGAAAACTTTGAAATGTAAAACAATCAAATTTGATGCACTATTTCATTTACCATTTACTTAAATTGTGTTAAGGAGTAATGTTGTTTCTTTAAATGTTCGGTACTAGGTGTAGGTGTGTATGTTTATCTATTGTTAGAATGATTAAGTATATTACGGTCTATATATATATTAGAAATTACAAAGATTATCTCTCTCAAACACTAGCTCTTCCACATATTTAGTCACATATAACAGACAAAAACTGGCATTACAGCTAATGTCAGCTCATATAAATATCACATAAACAACAATGTTTACAATGGAGGCAATTTACTTCTATTAAAAACATAATCAAACATGCATCTTTGATAAGCCAAAATGGGTATTAAAACTGCACGATTCATATAACATAACTATCGCTAATATAAAATCTTCCATACTTGCCTCATATTGTATCACAAACAAAAATACTTAATGTTTAAGTTACAACTTATGTTTTTATTTCAACCTACAGTTTATCTGATACACCATCCATCCAAATTTAACGTTTCCACCCTGACTTTGCTGAAATTTGCGATGAAAATATAGCCACCAATCTTGATGATGGTTATGATACTGAAAGGACTGATCTTTTAAAGGCAACTAAAAGAGCCACGTCACGACAAAACCAACATAGTGCGTTTGCGACCAGCATGGATCCAGACCAGCCTGCGCATCCGTGCAGTCTGATCAGGATCCATGCTGTTCGCTATCATTTATTTTTCCAACATAGTCACTTTAAAGGAACAAATGATAATAAATGCAACAGATATGTTTAACTTATTTTATTTATGGTTGGCATAAAATTTCCGTCATGACTGGTCATTAAGTAACATAAAGTTAATAGAGTTTGAACCTTTATATAAAATAGAAT